TTTTTGTTGTTATTCTAATATTCATTGTCACCTTTTCTTTGAGTGGTGTCTCATACCTGTATCCAAGCACTTTAAGAGTCTGAGGCAGGTGGATCACTTGAGCTCAGGAGCTTGAGACCAGCCTGGACAACATAGCGAAACTGCGTCTCTCTACAAAAAGTACAAAAATTAGCCAGGCATAGTATCATGAGCCCAGCTACTTGGGAGGCTGAGGCAAGAGGATCACTTGAGCCTGGGAGGTCAAAACTACAGTGAGCTGTGATCACACCACTACACTCCAGCCTGGATGACAGAATGAGACCTTGTCTCCAAAAAAACAAGAAAGAAAATAAAAAAGATATATGCCTGAAAGACTGTGTTTGTATTCTCTAATTGATAGAGGATTTTGTATATTTTCATGAGTATCATTCAAATCTTGAATATCTTTACTAATATTGTTCCTTCTTGATCTGTCGGTTTATAAGAAACATATGTTAAAATACCCAGGATGATTGTGGATTTGTCCATTTCTCCTTGAAGATATCTCCATTTTTATTTTATATATTTTTAAGGCTTTTCACAAATTTTTGAGGATATTCAAGCTTGGAATAGAGTTATTTCCCTAGTGAAGTGTTCCTTTTATTATTTTGTAATGTACATAATTTTAATAAGTCTTTTGCTTTAAAGTTCATTTCTCCTATTAATAAAGATACTCCAGCTTTCTGTTGGTTAGTGCTGTCTGATACAACTTTTTCCGTCTCTTTACTTTCGATCTTTCTTTGTCATTATGTTTTAGGTGTGCCTTTTGTAAATAACATATAGCTGGATTTTATTTTTTGATCAAGAGTTTCTGTCTTTTAACTGGTGCGTTATGATACCTGTATATTATGATTACTGATATATTTTTATTTCTCTTTTTTTGCTTTGTGTTTCTCTTTGCTTCTGTTTTCCTTTTTTCCTGTCTTCTATTTAAATGACTAAGATCTTTTTATTTCATGTCCGCCTAATGGTCTAGAAGTCATGTATATTCTATTTCTATTCTTTTAGTAGTTATTACCCTGATTTTATTACTCATTTATTTTTATACACAAGGCATTTCTGTAATATTACCCTGATTTTAAACTTGCGCTCTGACTTAACAGAATCTGAAATTATCCATTATCTGTCAGACAATCATGACCACTACAAGAACATTAGAATGCTTCAACTTCAATTATTTATCTAATTTTTATATTATTTAGTATTTTAGTCCTACCTGCTGAATTTCCACAAGTTAATCATTACTGTGTAGTTATTACTTTTATAAATTCAATGCTTGTTTATATTTACTTACACATTTATTTTCTCTGCTTATTCTTGCTTCTTGCATCTGAGTTTTTTCTTTCATGTTCAGTTTATTTCTTTCTAAAATACATACTTTAGATTTCTTTTCAGCAAAGATCAATGATTAATAAATTCTGTCTTTATCTTAAAATGCTTTATTTTGCCCTGCATATTAACTGATAGCTGCTGGGTATAAATAGATCTAGGAATGGACCTGTGAGATATAGAGAGAGATGTAGATATAGATACAGATACACACACATATACATACACATACATACATATATATGTCTCTCTTTTTATTGTAAAATAAAACAGATTAAAAAACAAAATAAATGTATGGCTCAGCAAATTATTATAAGGCAGCACTCTTGTAACCACCACTCAAGTGAAGAAATAGAATGTGGCCACTCAGGAATATATTTTTATTTAATCTGCTTAGGACTTTTGCAACATTCTGTTCCCAGAATGTTTTCTCAAATTTACTAAGTCTTTAGTAAATTTTACTGTCTTTTTTTTTTTTTTTTTTGAGACAGAGTCTCACTCTGTGGCCCAGGCTGGAGTTCAGTGGTGTGATCTCTGCTCACTGCAACCTCTACCTCCCAGGTTCAAGCAGTTCTCCTGCCTCAGCTTCATGAGTAGCTGGGACTACAGGCATGTGCCATCATGCATTTTTAGTAGAGACAGGGTTTGAGCTGAGTTGGCCAGGCTGTTCTCAAACTCCTGACCTCAAGTGATCTGCTCACCTTGGCCTCCCAGAGTACTGGGATTACAGGTGTGAACCACCATGCCCAGCAATTTTACTAAGTCTTGAGAAAATTATCCAAAATGTTGCAAAAGTATCCTCTAATGTACTGTCTTTCTTTAGCTGTGTCTAATACGTTTAGTCTGCCTTTTTTATTGCCTCATTTCTCTATTTGCACAGCTCTATTTGATTCTTTTTCTTTCTTTCTTTCTTTCTTTTTTTTTTTTTTTGAGTCAGGGTCTCACTCTTTCGCCCAGACTGGAGTGCAGTGGTGCGATCATGGCTCACTGCAGCCTCGATCTCCTGCTCTCAGGTGATCCTCTCGCCTCAGTCTCCCAGGTAGCTGGGACTACAGGCATGCGCCACTATGCCCTGCAAATTAAAAAAAAAAATTTTTGTAGAAACAGAGTTTCGCCATCTTGCCCAGGCTGTCTTCTTTTGTGTCTTTTATGTTTTACAGCACGCTGGTCATTTACAGATTGTTTTTCTGCTGTTTCAAGTAATCCTTCTGTTTGTTGTGTCTGTGGAGTCTAGTTCACTTACTTAGTAATATCAAGACATCAGGGCTTTATAGGAATTCTGGTCAGGCTAAGTTGTGAGAATATCTCTGGTTCTATCATGTGTCCTGGGGTGTCACCATGTTTGGCCAGACTTTCCTACTTCTCCATACCATGCGGAAGAGTAAATTCAGATCTCATATCTAAGAAGCATAAACCTAGGCATTTAAGATCACAGGAGGAACTTTGTTCAACTAGGGTCTAGACAGAAACAAATGAGTGCTAGCAGGTGAATTTATTTTTCTGTAGTTTGTTTTCACTGAGGTTTAGCTTTCGTTGGTTTCAAGGTTTATGCAAGAGTGGTAATTCTAGCCCATCTCATTTGAGCTGACAGCCTCATCTTTTATCCTCACAGGGTATTAAAACTCAAGTTTCTGGATTGCTGAGACCTGTAACAACTCACCTTTCCTCCCTTTGTGTAGCCACAGCACTAGGTCATATGCCTACCTCTCTGGTTTTCTGTACCCACTTCCTGGCTGGCACCCAGGAATTCCCCTTTCTTGTGAGCCTGGTGTTTGGCGGTTACCAATGGAATATGTAATCCTTTTTAAAAATAAAACATTTCTAGATATTTGTGTGGAGATTTGCCAACATTAAGAGTCTTTCTAAGTATGGGATGAGGAAAAAAAACTGTTTTTATTGGTGATTTTACACCAGAATTTATCTGTCACAGGTAGATATGATTAGGACAAAACACTGGCAAATTAAAGCTAGGAATTAATTCATCAAAGTCTTTATTGAGAAATACTTGAGTCTGGCATTTGAGTTGCTATTGGGATTCCTCCTTAGAAGGAAACCAGCTTTTTATCCAGTGTTATGGAATCCTTTTCTCTAAGGAGCAATGAAACCTCCTTGATTGGCTAATCACTTAAAACACATGAGTATTCCATATTATCTGCTAGTATGTTGCACACATCCCACTCCTGCTATGTTTGTTCATAATCAAGTAAATTTTCATTCACAATTTTTTTTAACTGTGATAACTAATGTTGCTTATAGTATGGGCATAAATGTCAAATAGGTTATCTCCTTGAGAAAATTGTTACTTGAAAAAAGTATTGTGTTTTGAACAAATAATAAACCATAAGCATAGTAGAATTGTTACCTTGAAGTCTTTCCTGCTCCTATCAGAAACTCTGGAATATGTTTTATGGTGCATCCTTCCCCTGTCAAATCTCATCAGTTTGTCTTCTTGGTACAATTATTTTAAGGCATTATGCATCTTTGTAGGCAAATAAATACAAATTCAAAAGTTACAATTGGTGATATTTTTACAAATAGAAGATAAACTCTTAGGAAGTTTAGGCAGAGACCGAAAAGTTAGAACCCAGAGGGAATAACACAGGAGGAAGCAAATATAGATTTAGAACTATAAGATGAGTAAGATGGCAAGGGTTTAAAATAATTGAGAGAATTAAGAAATGTTTGTCTTTGTTTACTACTATTCTCAGTGTTTGGAACTTCTCAACACTTAAGCCTTAATTTTTCTATCTTCTGGAATTTCTATCAAATAAATAATTATTTTTTAATGTATACCCTATCAACTCCTCCCCCAAAGCACCAGATAAGCTAAAATGAATTATAAGAGAGGCCAAAAATTACATGGAAAAGGTAGAAGAAATATCTTATAAGCACTTAACTTGGGGTGGTTGTAAGCTTCCTCTAAGTTGAGATAATAAATGAGCTACGTAATTGCATAATTGATCATCTAACAAATAACTTTTTAGGCTAACTTTCAGGCATGATATATTAGCCCTTTTGAATTTTTAAAATTCTATAATAAAGAAACATCTACCTTTAAGAAATAATCTTTTTTTAAAGACGATTTTGTTTACCATCGTTAAACATAACATTAGCATTGTCAAACCGACACGAGATGGTAAGGTAGAAAAAAAAATTTTTATCCTCTTTTTATCTTTGGGTTTACTATTCCCCCTTCTTAGAATTTGGTCTTTCCTCCCTCTTCAGGTTTCCCAGTGTTTTCTCAGTCTTGCCTAATAAAGTCATTCATACTAATGTGTTAGACAGTTCATGTTGCCTTACTAGGACTATTTACATTCTTAAAAAAAAAAAGATTAAATCAACAACTGAAGTATACACACATGCAAAAAGTGAACAAGAATGAATGAATGGATTCATGGAAAGGATGGATGGATGGGTGGATGATGGTACCATTTCATGCATGAGAAGTCTTTCTGATGGGATAACATATACCCAGAACTCATATTAAGTAGATGGTGGTCTGTTCCAGTGAAGAGAGGGTCTGTCAGGTAGATTCTACCAGTACTTTGCCACTATAGTGTATCTCAAACACTAACATGTATTATCAACTTTCTTCTTTTGTCACTTGTCATACTAGCTTGAAATCAAATCCCTTTTTTGTTTGTTTGTTCAAGACTGAAAGAGCATATTCCTTTTGTGGAACTATTGAATACATGGCACCAGATATTGTCAGAGGGGGAGATTCAGGACATGACAAGGTATGTTCTATTTTTGATGCTTCTTTATATATTTCTATAAAATGTACTATAAGAATCCTAATTAACAACTTAGGTCATCTCTTCAACAGAGCCGTCTTTCTGGTGTTGATTGTCTTATCTTCCTTTTTTTCTCTTTTGCTTTGTATTCCTGAACACATTATGATATCTAGTATTTTGGAGGAAAAAGATAATAGAAAGGTTAGGACATTCTAGATTTCCCTTTTAAAGGTTTTATTGGTGAGAATTGTGTTTTATTTTATAGAGTAACAGTCTTATTAAAGTTGAGAGCTTAAAACTAGTCAAATAATTTTTATTTTATTTCCACTGAGAGAGCCTATTTCTTAGAGTACAAACTGTGACTCCATTCTTTTAAAAAATTATGGGCCTGTAATCCCAGCACTTTGGGAGACCAAGGTGGGTGGATCACCTGAGGTCAGGAGTCTGAGTCCAGCCTGACCAACATGGTGAAACCCCATATCTGCTAAAAATACAAAAAATTAGCCTGGCGTGGTGGTGAGTGCCTGTAATTTCAGCTACTCGGAAGGCTGAGGCAGGAGAATGTTTGAACCCTGGAGGCAGAGGTTGCAGTGAGCAGAAATTGCGCCATTGCCCTCCAGCCTGGGCCACAAGAGTGAGACAGCGACTCAAAAAAAAATTGCTTACTTATTTTTGCATGAGACTGTGGCCTTTTAGGATGCAACTGAACCACAGTGCAATACAGAATTGTCACTGCATGTAAAACTGCACATTGTTCCTGTTTGAGTCGTGATGAATGGTTTTGGACAGTATTTATTTGCATTTTTAATTTCTGCTAGAAAAACATTCGGAAACATAGTCATCTGTATCACCTTTAGTTAATATTTGCTTTTTAAGCTGTCACTGAGAGGTCGATGAAAAGAGAATCAGTGATATTTTCTTATTCCCAGTTTCTGCCTTTAACTTTCCAGAGACACTGGAGACTGTTGATTATCTTCCCAGCAGAAATAAATATTTTAACAACCCTAGGAGAAAGAAAAAATCTTGAGTTCTAGATAGTTTAAGTTTGTTTTCCTAAGCCCTCTAAAAAGCTCAATTTTTTTGGCCTCCTCTCTTCCCTTTGTATGTCCAAAATGAAGATTCTAGAAGAAACTTTCTAAGTAACTATGTTACAAAATCTAGGTCGTGGATTTTTTTCTGTATTAAAGGGTACAAAATTTGTTCCTTTTTTTAACACTTCTGTTTTATTAATAGCTTTATCCAAATAAGGTATTCTAGTTTTTGTTCCCCGTCTTTCCTTCTCCTTCATTCCCTTTCAGAGTCCCACATATGCAGTTCAGATATCTGGCTGTGGAGAATCTCTGGTCTCCTTCCTGATGACTAATCATATATTTAAAAGCACGTTCTTCAAGTTTGTGTGGTATTGGTTTTGGGACCCAGGGCTAAGAATCTGATTATTGATCTCTTGTCATTTGAAGAACGTGGTTTTGAATCCAACAGCAAAACATTCTGAGGGTTCTGACTCAAATGGCAGTCAAACTGCTTGTATAAATAGAAGAGTTTAATTGCTGGTTTAGTTTGCTTCTTGATATTCTTTGAAGCTGTTGGGGAATTTGGTAGGAATTTATACCTGTTAATTTGAAAATTATCTTCAAAGACCTAATGGAACTAATTTTCACATAAGAAAATCTTGTATTACTCCTAGAATTTCTACCTACCTAAGGTGCAGAATATAACTAACTAGTCAATAAATATTTTTTCCCACACCTGGAACAACCTGACAGTTATTAAATGAGATAATGTATGCAAAGTGATCATCATAGCACCTGGCGTGGGGAAGATATTCAGTAAATACCTTTGCCCTCATGATTTTAGTCTTCCTGATGTGTTTTGTATGTCAGCACTCTGTATTTTCTTAGTAGCTCTAAGCCCATAAATTTTGTCACCTCTCTGAAACTTAGGCCCTGGAAATTCAAAGCAAATAGTTTGAAATTTTAACATCTAGCTAATATTTCTCATTGGTGTACACTCATGTGTTCAACAGTTATTAAAATTCTGATTTGCCTAATTACAAAAGAAGTAATTTTCAATACATCAAGATTCTTTAGGCCAGGCTTGGTGGCTCACGCCTGTAATCCCAGCACTTTGGGAGGCTGAGGTGGGCGGATTGCTTGACCCCAAGAGCTTGAGACCAGCCTCGGCAACATAGTGAGACCCTGTCTCAAATAAAGTAAAATAAAATAAAATATTCTTTAAATTATGTATCATTTGCTATGTTCTCAGTTCAGGTAACTGCATTTATAAATAGGTTTCCAAATTAGAACACATTTTATTTTATATTATTTTAGATCTTCCCATCAGTGAAGACTCTGAGGTTTATGTGTGATAGGTTCTAGAAGAAAAATTGATTTAGGCAGTTAGGAAAAAATAACATACCTTTGGATGTGGTATTTTTTTTTCATTTTTTGTTCTTTGATTTTTGGACATTTCATAAGGCTCACTGGAGCTGAATACTTTAGTTCCCTATCATAAGCCCAAAGAGATATCACCTACCTAAAATTTTAAAAATTTATATCAAGTTTAAATTTTTTTAATTAATCAAGGTAAATGGTTACTAGTTTAAGAAATAACATGCTTTCTGTGCTGAGGATACTTGGATATTTGTTCTCTAGATGTCTTTCTTGCATGTGCTAATTTAATACTCCTTACATAGAAGGAGGTGTACAAAATCATTTTTTAAAACATTTTCCTAATAGATAGCTTTCTTCATTTTTTTCTTTCTTATAAAATATTTTAGTTGATAATTCTATAAAATGAAATTATTGTTGTTTTATAGGCAGTTGATTGGTGGAGTTTAGGTGTTCTAATGTATGAATTACTAACTGGAGCATCTCCTTTCACTGTTGATGGAGAAAAAAATTCCCAAGCTGAGATATCTAGGTAAGATTTGACAAAATAAAATAAATGCATTGTTTTCTCAAAGGAACTGATCACATTTCTGCAGTTAGGCTGATGTAAACAATAATTTTTTTAAATGAGGATAGACAGTGATGTTTATGTGGTAAATTTTCTTTTCTATCATATAGCATATAGATATGTTACCTTTATATTTCTTTATACTGATTGTATGTGTCAAATTGAATCTGAAGTTTAACTTATCATCTGTAGTGTCATGATTTTGGTGTGCCCCAGAGCACTTAGAATATTGTCTTACACTTAGTAGATACGTCATATATTGAGAAGTTTATTTAATGGATACTTTTTTCTCCACTGTGTATGTAATTTATTTCTTTGTGACTTTAACATGAAGAAACAGTAATGGCATTTTTGAACTCATGAATGTAGGCTCAACAGAAACAAATACCATAAAATTATCCTCTTGTAGGTCTCAGAGCATTATTCTCTTATTTTCCTTCGTAGCAGCTATCACAGTTGCAGTGTTACATTTTTTTTTATAATTATTTGATTAATGTCTATCTGTCACACTAGATTGTAAGCTCTGTGAGAGTAAGGGACATGTCTGGCTTTGATTCTCAGTACTTGCTATATAGAACTCTGTAAATATTTGAGGGGTAAAATGGGTTAATGAACAAATAAGTAAATAGTGAACAACATTATACTAATTACTAGTTATGTTTTTGTCCTGTTTTTACTTGAATTTTATAACTTTGAGAACAGATTTGGCCTTAAAAATTAAAAATTGAGATTCCACTTCCAAAGAAGATGGAATAACAGGGACCAGATTTACTTTCCTGCCTGAAACAATTTTAACAATGGGCAAAATACATGAAACAACAGATTTGAAGACATTGGACATCTGGAAGTGAAGGACAATGATCTTTGAGAGGCGGAAAAATAAATGAGGTGAGCCCTGTGATTGCCCCAGCTTACTGCCTTGAGAGCATTTCCAGGCTGCAAAACCCAGACGCAGTTGAGGAGGTGCAACTGAGAGTCCAAGAAGATCAAGACAGCTAGAGTTTGCAGGCCAGAGTGTGGGAGACAAGAGTGGCACCCAGAGGGAAGTCCAGAGATGTGCAGAGGTATTCAGTTGAGTATTGGTAAGCACACAGTGAGGGAACTATTCCATATAGTTAAGATGTTATTTCTTGCCAAATTGAACTGTAGATTCAATACAGTCACATTTCCAGCAGTTTTTTTTTTTTTTTCTTTAGAAATTGACCACCTGGGTCTAAAATTCATTATGAAAATGCAGAGGACCTAGAATAGCCAAATTAGCTTTGAAGAGATAGAAGTCTTGAAATAAACTTTGTTCTAAGTTACAGTAATTAAGACATTGTGGTTTTGGTGTCAAGACAGACAAATGATCAGTGACAAATGATTTTTGACAAAGATGCAAAGTCACTTCTGTAAAGATAGTTTTGAACAAATGGTGCTGGAACCACTGGCTATCCAGATGGAAAAAAGTGAACTTCAAGAAATACTTCATACCATATAGAAAAATTAACTCAAAATGGATTATAGACCTAAATGTAAAAGCTAAAACTATAAAACTTCTGGAAGGAAACATAAAGGAAAAACATTGTGAGCTTGGTTTAGGTAAAGATTTCTTAGATATGACACAAAAAGTGCAATCCATAAAAGAAAACATTAATAAATTGGACTTCATCAAAATTAAATATTTCTGCTCTTCAAAACTGTTTGAGAGAATGAAAAGACAAGCCACAGACTGGGATAAAATTTTAAATCATATGTCTGCTGAAGGACTGGTATCCAGAATGTATAAAGAATTCTTAAAACTCAAGAAAACAAACAACCACGTTTAAAAATGGGCAAAAAATTTGAACAGACAATTCACCAGAGAAGACGTGTAGGTGGCAAATTAGCACATGAAAAGACTATCAACACCTTTAGTCTTTAGGGAAATGCAAATTAAAACGTCAATGAAATACCACTATACACTCAACTAGTATGGCTAAAAATAAAGAGACTGATAATACCAAGTGCTAATAAAGACGTGGAGGAACTGGAACTTTCATACACTGCAAGGGGAAATGTAAAATGGTACAAAAACTTTGGAAAATAGGCAATTTCTTAAAAAGTTAAACGTTACTCACTGTCTGATCTGTCCATTCCACTCCTGGGTAATTACCAAGGGAAATGAAAACATATGTCTATATAAAAACTTGTGCATGAATGTTCATGACAACTTCATTTGTAATAACCGAAAACTGGAAATAACCCAGGTATCTGTCAACAAGTAAGTGGTTAAACAAATTGTGGTTTATTAATACAAATGGAAGACTCCTTAGCAATGAAAAGGAATTTATCTAAGACATGTGCGGTAGTGCATCTGTAGTCGCAGTTGCAGAGGAGGGTGAGGTGGAGGGATTGCTTGAGCCCAGGAGTTTGAGGTCAGCCTGGGCAATGTAGCAAGACCCTATCTCTTAAAAAAAGGAACGATTTGTTTATACACTTGCAAATGGATGAATCTCAAAATAATTACACCGAGTGAAACAAGCGAGAAAATATAGAATATATACCATATGATTCCAATTCTGGAAAATGCAAACTAATCTACAGTGACAAAAAGCAGAATAGCAGTTGCCTGGGGACTGGGATTGGGGGAGGTCAGGAGAGATTACAGTGGAACATAGGAAGACTTTGGAAGGTGAAGAGTGTGTTTATTATCTTGATTGTGGCAATGGTTTCACAGGTGCATACATATGTCAAAACTTATCAAACATAGAACATTTTCTTCCATGAAATTAAAAAAACATACAGTTACACACTTTTTGTATGGGATTTTTATTGTATGTCAATTGTACTTCAGTAAAACTGTTAAAAATTTAAAGCGTACCAATTCCAAGACAGGCTAGAAAAATGATTTCTCACTGTTTCAGTTTATTTAGTGCCAAAGTTAAGTGAGCAGTACTTCTTTTTAAAATCAGGGTGAGTTAAAATCACACCTCTTATGAAAAATTATAAATATGACTTTGTTTATTTTAAATTGATTTTTTGGCAGTTTGAAATACCTCAGAATATAGGAAACTGTGGCCATGGTCCTGAGAATTTGGGTCCAGTTGCAAGATCATACCTGTCATGGTGACAGGTACTAAAGGTGGCCTTAGCCTGACAACATTAAGTGGTGGCTTCTCTAATTCCCGTCTTTCTGATTCCACATATACGGGCAATCTTTTAAAAATAATTTTCCTTTCCACTGTAGGTCTGAGTGTGGAGAGAAGTATATTGCTTATGATGACAAGAATATTCTGAATAAAGTAATGTTCACATTTAAATTGCTTTTATTCCCTTTATATTAATCAATTGGCATTCTGGTTTTAGAAAGAGAAAGAGAGCCTGAATCAGATTGTCTAAAACCTTACAACTAAAGCAAATGGACTTTTCAAGAATTTAAATAGGATTCCTTCCCTTTAATCAATTAATTATCCACTTTGTCATGGTGTCAACCTGTAATTTCACGGTTTGTGTGTGTGTGTGTGACAGAAATTTACAAACAATGTGATAACTAAATTACCCTACACTACATTTTCCTTTCAGAATAATCATTCTAAGTATCTTTCCTGGCACAAATCTTATATGTATCATTTAGATAAATGTGTCATTATCTGTCCCCTTTTTATCATCCTTCAAAGTAATGTTATTATCTGAGTTATCTGTTTGCCATTTTTGTCTACAGGTAGCCTAGAATAAAAATATTTTTCCAGTATATCAAATTTCAAAATATGCTAAGACTTACAATGAGAAGAATCTTAGAGTTCAACTTTTCCCCTGCCATAAGAATCCCTTTGTCTGTAAGAATCCCTGATAGTTTTGCCATCATGGAAAGGATGGAGCTTATATAAGGTGTTTTTAAGGAAGCTATGTTCATTAATGGACAACTTTAGTTTATGAGTTTTCCCCCACTTAAACTGAAATTATTATTTTCTCATTTCTGAATGTTGATTTTGGTCCTGCCTGCTCAAGAACATGGAATAATTCTATTATTTCTTTCCAGACATTACCTTAAGGATAGTTTTATCTAGGATAAATCTTTCTAGTTCTTTTAGCTATTTGTTAGAAATCATTTCTGGATTTCTCATATCCTGGTACTATTTTGGACAAATATTAAATTATCAGTATTATAGATTGGAATGATTGGGTTTTAGCTTTTCTGTGAGTCTGTTTCTTATTTTTTAAATATATGTACCTGTGCTTTTCTTACGTGACTTACACTAGCTTTTATTTTATTTGTTAAATTTATTTTATTTATTTATTTATTTAATTTTGAGATGGAGTCTCACTCTGTTACCAAGGCTGGATGTAGCGGCATGATCTCGGCTCACTGCAACCTCCACCTCCCAAGTTAAAGTGATTTTCCTGCCTCATCCTCCCCAGTAACTCCATTACAGGCACATACCACCACACCCGGCTAATTTTGTATTTTTAGTAGAGATGGGGTTTCACCATGTTGGCCAGGCTGGTCTCAAACTCCTGACCTCAAGTGATACGCCTGCCTCAGCCTCCCAAAGTGCTGGGATTACAGGATGAGCCACTGCGCCTGGCTTCCATTAGCTTTTATTGCCTTTCTGTATAGAACATCTTTTAGGCCAATGGCCACTCTCAGTTCCTTGCCATGTGGACCCTTCTAACCTGACAGCTCTCTTTGTCAGAGCCTGTGAGCTGGAAAGGCAGTAGAGTCCACTAGGAAGATGGGATGCCTTGTAACCTAATCATGCAGTTGACATCCTGTCATCTTTCTGTACCAAGTATTGGTTATACGGAAGGCACTAGGTCCAATCCACAGGTAAGAGGCTGTGAATGCAAATATACAGTGCTCATTGGAGCCAAAGTCTGCCTACCATGAGCCCTTTACAAAAAAGATTGCCAACCCTTTGCCTAGGTAATTAATTTTGAGATATGTTGCTTTTGGAGTCATGTATAGAGTAACTACAAGTATCATTTTTTTTAAACCCTGTTTT